ACCATCTAACAGGGCAGTAATAGCATGATTAGAATATATGCATACAGACCCATCTAACAGAGCAGTAATAGCATGGTTAGAACATATATGAACACAGTACCACCTAGTAGGGCATATCTCTGAGAGATGAGATAATTAATCCCTATGAGATAAATGGCTTTATCTTGCTATTTAATTAAAAAGAAGATACAAGCTTTGTATGAGTCCATGAACACAAAAGAAAGTAGAGCTGACCTGGTTTAGCTAACTATGAACATACAGCAATCATAATATAGTACAGAAGCTGACTGTGTAGATCATGTCTCTAGGACACACCAGTCAGTAGGAAGCTAATACTGAAGAGGACATAATCCAGAATGAGGAAGTTTCGTTCTGCTGTGGTGTATTAGGGAACAGGTATAACGTCTACCTCTGAACTTCAATTTCCACCTACCCAAATGAGATGCTCACTGAGCTTTCAGACCTTTTCTAACCAGCAGAAGCCAGGTACTAGTCTGAGCCCTACCACTAAAACCCTTCTTAGGCCCATGAGACAAATCTATGAAAACAGAGCTCCACTGAACAGTCAGAGAACCACAGACACAGGCTCTTGTTGCTGATCTCTTTAGATATTCCAGGTTAGCTATTCATCAAATTCAGGCTTCATGTTTTCTAAGATACATTACATAGAGACACAATTAACTAATACATCAATTGAATGTTCAGAACTGTTAATGATAACTAGTAGTAAATTAGTAGGTACCTTAATTTCTGGATATTCTTATTTTCAGTTATTCTATTAACACCTGAAAAATAAAACGTGTTTATTAATATAGTTCATTAAATAAAAATGAACAGTTCAATCTATAAATTTTTATCATTTAATGTTTTGAAATATTTGCATATAAGGAGAAAAGTTCTTTTTGTTTCTTTCTTACTTGTGTGTGTGTGGGGGGGAGGGACATCCATGTGCCGCAGCATGTGTGTAGAAACCAGAGGACAGTTTTGTAGAGTCAGTTCTCTCCTTTGACGGCTACGTGAAATCTGGGAACTAAACCCAGGTCATCAGGCTTCAAGGCAAATGCCTTTGCCTGCTAAGTCATCTTGGCAGCCTCAACAGTTTTCATTTCACATGAAAGTATATTTTAACTTATAATCGAGAACACTTATCTAGGCTGTGTAATAATGAATGTAGGATAAGGGTTAGTCATGAGGGAAAAGGCATCTTCTATGTGTAGACTCAGGACTACTAATATAAGTGACGAGAGGCATAAGCTGGTTCATGGGGGTAGGTGGGCTTTCTGCCAGCCACGTCCCAAGTGTACATGTGGTGGGCCTCTCTGCAGTGTCCATTTTGAGGACCCTGCTGAGAGGGCAATGGCTACTGGATGCCCTCTCCTGGGCAAAATGTTAGACAGTACAGCTTTAAAATCTCCAACATCCCAAGACTTTCTACAGAAAATGCACAAAACAACACTTTTTGTGGCTGATTTTAGTTCAGAGCAAAGCAAAGAAGAATGGATCTGCTTCCAGCAAGTCGCTTCTAGAAAGAATAATGCATTTCATCGTGCTTATCATCTCTACAAATATTTTTGTAGTTGTATTAGATCTGTTAGCCCAGCTGGGCAATGATAGAGCATGCCTTTAATCCCAGCACTCAGGACACAGAGGCAGGCTGATCTATGAGTTCATGGCCAGCCTGGTCTACAAGAGCTAGTTCCAGGACAGACACAAAAGCTACACAGAGAAACCCTGTCTCGAAAAACAAAACAAAAGAAAAAAATCTGTTATCCTAAATCTGCTCACACCTGCCCACTAAATCTGCCTTTTAGTGTTAGCTATTGATGCTATGAACTTCACTCCTAAGTTAGACATGCTAGCGTCGTCAGCTATCCGTCATCTAAGCTAACACATCCAATTGACCACTGTATTTTGCTGAGTTTATTTCTGTCACAGAGCAGAGCTCAGGATAGACATCTTAGATGTGGTACATCACTGGGTAAGAATCCTTGAATGACTGATCTAACTTTAATTCTAGTGATTTTTATTTTTTGATGCTCTCACCAATTCTTGTCAGACCCACTATAAAAACCTTCAATGGTATTTCTTTTCATTTTTCCAATCTTGCGTCATGAGCATCGAACAAAGCCCTTCAGCATCTGGCTTCAGCCCTGCTTCCTCCCCAGACACTGTGCTCTAAAGCAAGTCCCTCTTGCTGTACACTGAGTGGTGTGCTCTTTCCTAGCACAAACACTTCCACTTCAGCTTAGAGGGCACAGAGAAAGAGATTCAACACCACATTTCTGACCTCATGATCTTACTGATGTACTAAAAAGAGAAACAATATGCCTCTGAATAAAGAATTTAATTGAGCAACTACATTTGGAGCACAAATATAGTGTATCTTCTCTTCCCATATCAAAACTGACAAGTTTCAAGTAAGTAATTCCTGTACATAAAATATCTTACACAAAGTCTGGCATAGAGCAAGCATTTGATAACAATTATTGTTAATGGCATCTGGGCAGTTTACAGAAAAGAGTTTCTATTAATGCCAAAGATAGAGCTGTCTTAGACAAAGACCAATCAAGTTTATATCTTGTGAATGTATAATGGGGAGAGACACTGATGAAGAAAGAAATCAAAAGTATACATATTTCTTAATTTTCAGTTACAAATATATGACTTTGGAGACTGGACAGGTAAAATGAAAACAGTAAAGAACAGTCGTGTATCATGAGATGAATCAGGGCTACATTAGGGTAGGACAGCAAAGGAAGGCCTTCCTGAGGTGGTGCTCAATGTGAATGCTTCTTCTTAAAACACCATATACAAAAGTGAGACCTCAGTGCACACTCACAGAGAGGCTAGTGATCATGAGACAAGAGGCCTGTTCATGAACATCACCTGCACACATGTCCAAACAGAATCCTCTGGATTACCCCAGGAAATTGGCGACACCAGCAGGGCTGGGGTCCAAGGCTCTTTTGGGGGCTCTGGGACTTGCTGGACCTACAGTCACTGAAGGATTTTAGCCAGAGGCATATTATGCTCCTTCAGCAGCTGTGTGGAGAGGGTCCAGAGTGGGGGATGAGGCCTGTCGGGAGGCAACTGGAGTATCCCAGTGCAGGGTCCCAGTCTAACTCTAAAGCTTACCAGTGATCAAAAGGAGCGAGGACTGGTACCGGGCTGAGCAGGGCCAATTGCAAATGGGGATGAGGACTCTCAGGTGATGGGCATGTTCTAGAACTGAATGGTGTGGCTGACTACACAACTCTGTAAGTTATGGAAAATTACTGACCCGAGCTAGTGGGAGCTCAAGGACTTTGCACTGCCAGCTGGGGAACCTGCATAGAACCAAACTAGACCCTCTGAATGTGGGTGACAGTTATGTGGCTTGAACTGTTGGGGGGAACCGTGGCAGAGGGACCAGGGCTTATCTGGGGTGCATGAACTGGCTTTTTAGAGCCCAATTCCCTATGACGGGATACCTTGTTCAGTCTTGGCCCAGGGGGAAGGGTCTTGGTCCTGCCTCAACTTAGTATGCCAGATTTTGTTGACTCCCCAAGGGAGGTCTTCTTTGTTTTGTTTTTGTTTTTTGAGTCAGGGTCTCTCTACATAGCCCTAACTATCCTGGAACTCTCTTTGCAGACCTCACAGAGATCCACCTGCCTCTGCCTCCTCAGTGCTGGAATTAAAGGTGTGTGTCAGCACACCCAAGCCATTTTCAAATGGCTTGTCCTCATAAGAATAGACACACACACACACACACACACACACACACACACACACGACCCCTAGAACAGCAAGCAAAGGCTTTGTATATACATCAAATACATCTTTAACGGCTTTTCTCATTTAGAGGGTAAAATGTCACAGGAACTATTTTACACATAACTAAAGTAAACAGATAACTGTGTTAAAATTTAAACTACAGGACTGGAAAGGTGGCTGAGCCTTAAGAGCACTTGCTGCTCTTGCAATGAACCAATGTTCAGTTCCCAGTACCCACATGGCTGCTCAAAACCTTCTGTAACTCCAACACCAGGGGATCCCACAATCCCTTCTGACCTCCACAGGCATCAGGCACTCACATGGTGCACTTACACACAGGCAGGCAAAGCACTAATATTATATATATATATATATATATATATATATATATAAAATAAAAACACATGTTAAAAAAATAATAAGTGTGGCACAGACTTATGTACACATACACACGAGCAATCCTGTCTAATTCACCTCTAGGACGAGTCAAACCTCTGGACTTTTTTCTTTTTTTATGTGGAAAGTAGTTTTCGGTCAAAACAGCCCAATATCACTTGTCTTCTACATTCCCACGACCTTAAAGCCAGCATGACATTTAACAGAACAACGTCTGGGACCGCTGGAGTGGGAACCTCTGCTAGGGTTGTGGGAAAGGATGGCTGTTGCTGGTGGGGAAAAACTGGGACCTGAGGTAGATTACCAAGAGGGCTCAAGTCACACAGCCATTAACAGTCCCGTGTGGGAAGACAGACTGGTGACAGTCCGAGGCCCCACTCCTGTCTGTCCCCACATTTCCCCCTCTCTTCCAGGGGGTTCCCGGGAACCAGGCAGGAACTCTGCACCGAACCCCGCAGTCACGAAGACCCACTTTTCCTGCCACCGTCACTGGCGAGCTTGAACTCTCCTAAAACAGCTGGACAAAGTTACTGGGCCGGTACCACGTGGGAACACACGGCCGTGGAAGGTTCCAGAAGCAACAGGAGTTGATCCCAGGCCCTCCGGGGAACAACCCAGCCCTGCCCCCTGGGACGCCTCCCGTCCTCACACCTGCTCCCTCCACCTCGTCCTAAGAGACCGGCCGCATGTCCGTGGGGGCGGCGGCCGCACCTGCGCGACCCC